ACCCGGACCCAAGGCCACCTGCCCCCCGGGCCCGCGCCGCTGCCGCTGCTGGGGAACCTCCTGCAGCTCCAGCCGGGAGCTCTGTACTCCGGGCTCCTGCGGGTGAGGGGCCACCGGGATGGCTTTGCGAGAGGCGTGGGGGCCCGGGGCCAAGAGAGGGCGGGGTTCCCTGAGGGAAAAACCGAGTGCCGAGGCAGAGGGGCCCTCGGGTGTCCTCGGAGAAGTCAGGACCAGGGGCCCCACAGCAAAGGAGCTACGGTGTCCTGGCATGTGGGTAGGGGGTAGGTAGTCAGGGCAGAGAAGGGGAGACGTCCAGGAGAGGGAGGGTCCCAGGGTGCAGGGCCGGGATAGGAGGGGCACAGACCTCTGCCCACCAAATCGTGTGTTGACAATGGGCAGGGACCAAAGGGGAGAAGGACAGGAATCTTGGATAGCGGCAGTGGGCTTGTCCCGGGGGAGGTAGCCGGCCAGGTGTGGGAGCCGAGAAGTGGCAGACTCAGAGGGGAGCCCCGGTTGCAGGAATCGTTTTCAGAGAAAACAGGAGGATGGGTGGAGGTGCGCTAGGAGGGAACTGGGGTTCCTGGGACAGACAAGGAAGGAGGGTAAGAGAGAAGTGAAGTGATCAAGGTCATCCCAACTTTGGGGATAGGAGTAGGGGAGAGGAGAGAGACCAGAGATACCCCGTTTAACAGGGTTCTGGGGCGTAGAGAGGGGAGGGGACGGCTCAGTCATATCTGCTCCAGAATTTAGAGGTTTCACAATGATTAAAATGGGTGACTGGATATTTGCGGGGCGGGGGGTTGCTGAGGAATTTGGGGAGAACTGAAACTGGTTCTGGGTAGTTCCAGGGCCAGAAGTTACAGGTTGCAGCAGGAAATAAGGGACTGGGGCTGGGGGGGCTCGGGGGCGGGCCCTGGGAGCTTATACAAAAAGAGAGCCCAACCTCCCGAGGGGGCTGTTTCTGCTTGGAGGGGAGAGGGCAGGTTCCTGGTAGAGGGAGTGGAAGCCAGGCCAGATGGCTCGTCCAGGGACAGAGGCCTGAACTGAGACCTCTTGGCTGTGAGCGCCTGCGGCCGGCCCCTCAGCACCCACCCCCTTGTTCCTAGCTGAGTAAGGAGTACGGACCCGTGTTCACCGTGTACCTGGGACCTTGGCGGCGCGTGGTGGTCCTGGTTGGGCACAAGGCTGTGCAGGAGGCCCTGGGGGGTCAGGCCGAGGAGTTCAGCGGGCGGGGAACATTGGCGACGCTGGACCCGACTTTTGATGGACATGGTGAGTCAGAGGCAGAGTGGGGGTTGCTGGGTCCTCTGTCAGAGCCTCACTCGCCGCTTACAGATGTGTGACCATTGCAAGTGGCTGGGTGCCTCTGGTTCCCCATCTGTAACATGGGGTGCTGATGGTGCTTATCATATCCAAGGAGACTTCAGCAAGTTTGTGGGAAAATAGAATGAAAGTGAATTCATTTTGGTGCAAAAAAAAATTTTTTTAATCCACACCTAGTTTCATAATACACATTTTCCATTCACTTTCTGAAGAACCCTCATACTCAGGGTTGAAGGATGACTGCACCTTGCACAAAGTAAGCATTGACTCAACGCCAGATTGTAGTGTTAGTGAGAACATCCATTGGGCCCTGTGGCCACTCCGCCGTTCCAGGGCTCTGGAAGAAGCCCCACTGGGAACTGAGGGGGCAGGTGCTCAGAGCTGGAAACCAGTCTCTAAGACAGAAAGCAGAAGGCCCATGCTGAGCGCTGCTGAATGGCTCAGCCGGCCTCAGACCTGCTTTACCAGAGGACCTAGGTCAATGGGGAGACAGAGCCATGACCAGACAGTGACAGCTCAGAGCGTCAGGGCCGGGGTCACAAGCAGCGGGTTTGGCCAGGACTGGGGAACCTGTGGAGGGCTGGGGTCAGAATAGTTGGGGAGGCACACCCACAGGAGTCTGACTAGGATATAGGCAGCCATGGGACACTAGGATACAGGCAGCCATGGGACGCTAGGAATCCAGAGGAAGCAGCTGACCCAACCTGTTCAGTGGGCAATACCCAGGAAGTCTTCCTGGAGGAGAGGGTTCTGAACTGAGGCTCACAGGACAATGGGAAGGGCGTTCCAGGCAGAAGGACCAGCCCACACAAGCGCGGAAGTGAGAGAAGCATTCATCCCTTCAATGACACATTTCCCGTTGTGCGTGGCCCTGAACTGGGTGCTGGGGACAGATGCAGTATCATTTCATTTTTCTCTCTCTCTTTTTTGAATTATTTGTTTATTTATCATTTGTTTGTTTGTTCGTTACGTTTGACCAGAGAGAGACAAAGTGAGAGAGAGAGAAAGTAAGAAAGCAAGCCACCAGGTCCAGGACTCGAACTGTGGTCGACCAGGTGGGAGTCCAGCACTCTTAACCTGCACGCCTCCACTTGCCGGCCCTGCGGTATCATCTCCTACTGTGGAGAAATGGGGCCCGTTAAAGAAAGTAGACGGAGGGAGTCAAATTCTAAATTGGCACCTGGGAGCGCAGGGTATAGGAAACTTGTCCTAAGGCTGGGCATGGGGAAACAGGGAAGACTTCTCAGAGGAGGTAAGCTCTGAGCTGAGACATGAGTGGAGTTAGTTCATCAAGGAGCAGCGGCAATGAGAGTGATGTGAGCAAAGGAAAGGGCAGGGGTGAAGTCCTGAAGAGGGGTCCTGACACCTTTGAGGAGGTGAGAGGAGGCCATGGTCATTGTAGAGGAATGAGTAATTAAAGCCTCAGTCACGCAGGGCTGTGAGTCACGCGCAATGTTTGGGCTGCTGGTTTTTCTGGGGAAAAGAGTCACAGAGAAGGGCTGTGGTCAGAGTTAGGAAGATCCCTGGTTGCCATGCGGAGGGGACAAAACTGAATGTTGCGAGTCCAGGGTGGGGCAGGCTGGCCTAGAGCTGGATGACCGGCTGCTTGGGAGACCCATCAGGGGAAGGCCCGGGGCTCTGAGCAGCGGGGAGCAGGGGACACCCAGGAGGAGGCACTCAGGAACCACAGCAGGCCAGCACTCAGTGGGTGTAACACTGAGCGCAGAGAGAGAAGAGTCTGTCCACAGCTGGCCTCGTGGGTGCAGGAGGAGAAGGCGCAGTTCCACCCTCCTCCTTGGGTTCTTCCTCCAGACTCTGTGGGACATGGGAGCCAGGAGTGCTCCATGGATGGTGTGATGAATGGAAGGGAGAGAGAAAGGAAGGAAGGGGGCACAGGGAGAAAAACAACTGAGTGGAAGGGAAAAATCTTCACTCATGCTGGTTAATCACCAAACAGAAAGAATCTGGATCATCCCAGTTACCAACTTTTTGGGAGAATATAGCCTCTGACCCAAGGCCAAATTGTGGAAGAACCAGTTTGATTATGAATTGATTGAGCACCTAGTAGATTCTTGGGCTAGGCTGGTTTGGACTTAAGGCAGGGCCCTCAGGACTCCACTGGGGGAAAAGGATAGTCCTGGGAAGAGGAAAAGGGAGGAAGGCAGGTCCCTTCTTGAGTCTGGCCTTCCATGCAGGGGTTTTCTTCGCCAACGGGGAGCGGTGGAGGCAGCTGAGGAGGTTCACCACTCTTGCGCTGCGGGACCTGGGCATGGGGAAGCATGAAGGCCAGGAACTGATCCAGGCGGAGGCCAGGTGTCTGGTGGAAGCATTCCAGGGGACAGAAGGTCAGCAGGGGGGCTCCATCCAAGGCCCCACTGTGCCTGGGGTTGTTCACCTCTACCTTCTGTCTGTTCTGCTATCTTTCTGAAGATTTCACAACAGCTTTTTCTGTATCCCTGGTGCTGTCATCTCGCTTCTTCTGGGTCGCCATCTCATTCTGCCTCTTCTTTCTCTTTCTGCTTTGCCCTATCTCTGTTTCTGTCTCATCCTGTGTCTCCCTCCCCATGTCTATTTCTTTTCTATGTGTGTCTGTGTGTCTGTGTCTCAACCTATCTGCCCTTTTTCTATGCCTCTCTGGTCGGGCCTGTCATCATAGGTCTGTCCAACATCCGTGGGTCTCAGCCTGGCTCCCTGCCCTCCACTTCCCCAGGACGCCCATTCGATCCCTCCCTGCTGCTGGCCCAGGCCACCTCCAACGTAGTCTGCTCCCTCACCTTTGGCCTGCGCTTCCCCTATGAGGACAAGGAGTTCCAGGCTGTGGTCCGGGCAGCTGGTGGTACCCTGCTGGGAGTCAGCTCCCGCTGGGGCCAGGTAAGGGGGTGAGTCCACTCTCTAGCCACCTTCCCCAAAGGCCCCTGCCAAGTGCCCGTGAAAGCCAGCTGCCCTTCTCCCCACAGACCTACGAGATGTTCTCCTGGCTCCTGCAGCCCCTGCCGAGCTCCCACCGCAAGCGGTTCCTTGACCACGTGAGCACCCTGGCTGCCTTTGCTGTCCAGCAGGTGCAGCGGCACAGGGGAAGCCTGGACACCTCGGACCCCGCACGTGACATGGTCGATGCCTTCCTGCTAAAGATGGCACAGGTGGGAGCAGGGCAGGGGAAGGCTGTGGGGGGCTCTCCTGAAAGGAGCTGGTACACCTGGGGGTCTTGATGGAGTCCCACCAAGAGAGACACCAGACGGGAGATGTCTGCTTCTCAGTGCATTGTCCTCCCTGCCTCTCCCCACTCCCTCTGGAGTATTTGGGTGCTGGAATCTCTGTACCTCTTGCCTCTCCCTTGTCAGCCCTGCACTCAGGCTTCATGCCCAGGGGCTTGCCTCCCATAATTCCCTGATCACTTCATCCCATCCCTGTTCTCCCACCCACACTGGACTTTTTTTTATTTTTAATTTTGCTATCAGGCATATGAGCTCGCCAGAAAGAGAGAGGGAAAGTGAGAAATCACGCCATGGGGCGATAGCCATGCCATAATCCCTTCTCCTCCTGAGATTTTGGGCACCTGGTCTGTTTTTATTTGGTTGGTTTTTTGTTTTTGTTTGTTTTTCTTTTTTTTTAATTATTTATTGGGACCAGCAGGTGGCGTGGTGGTTAAGGAGCTGGACACTTTCACATGACTGACTGTGGTCCAAGTCCAGACCTCTCTCTCTCTGGTCAAATTAAAATACATGAATAAATAAATTAAATTGGATTAAATAATTCTTAAAAAAAATAAAGGCTACCAATAAAATGTATTTATTAAAAAAAATATATTTATTAGGGCCAGCAGGTAGTAGGGCCAGCAGGTGGCATGGTGGTTAAGGGCACTGGACTCCCACATGGCTGACCACGGTTCAAGTCCTAGACCTGGCAGTTTGCTTTCTTACTTCCCACTACCCTTCTCTCACTCTGTCCCTTTATGCTCAAAGTACAATAAATAAATAAAGTTAAAATGTTAAAAGATAATTATTAAATAAATAGGATTATATATATATTTTTATTTAATTTAATTTTTTTATTATCATTATTTTTTAGTCTGACCAGAGAGAGAGAGATAGAAAGGGAAAATGAGAAAGCAAGTCACCAGGTCTGGGACTTGAACCACAGTCGGCCATGTGGGAGTCTAGCCCCCCAACTACTATGCCACTAGCCAGCCTCCTGGTCTGTCTTTTAAGCCACCAGGTCTAGGACTTGAACTGCTCAGTTGGCCATGTGGGATCCAGCTACCTTAATCCCTGTGCTACCTGTTAAGCCCTACACTGGACTTTTTTTTTTTTTTAATTATTTCAACTTTATTTATTTTAATTTGACTAGAGAGGGACAGAGAGAGCGAGAGAGAGGGAGAGGGAAAGTGACAAGGTGAGCCACCAGGTCCAGAACTGGAACTGTAGTCAGCCATGTGGGAGTCCAGCACCCTTAACCACTACACCACCTGCTGGTCCCACACTGGATATTTTATAAGAATTATAATCATTGCAGGGACCAGCAAATGGTATAATGGCTACATCCCTGGACTCCCATGTAGTAGACTACAGTTCGAGTCCTGGACCCGGTGACTTAAACTCATACAGGGCACATGTGCGTGTGTGTGTGCACAAGATCCCAGGAGGAGAATGAAGAAGGGCTTGCAATGTGGCCATCCCTCCTGGGAGGTGATTTCTTGCTTTCTGTCTCTGTATCTCTGTCTTGCTGGCAAGCGCACGTGCCCCGTAACAAAAACCTATCCAAAAAAAAAAAAAGAATTATAATCATTGGGGGCTGGCAGGTAGCCAGTGATGGTTAAAGGCACTGGACTCCCACATGGCTGACCATGGTTCTAATCCCGGATCTTGCAGCTAGCTTTCTCACATTCCCTTTCTCTTTCTCTCTCTCTCTCTCTGATAAAATTTAAAAATAATAATAATAAATAAAATTAAAGAAATAATTCCTTTTTTAAGAATTATTTTATTTAACTTTATAGTTAAAGAGAAAGAAGGAAAGTGAGAAAGCAAGCACCAGGTTTGGGACTTGAACCATGGTCAGCCATGTGGGAGTCCTACACCCTTAACCAGCACACCTCCTGCCATACCACAATCCCTTCTCCATTCTCCTCTCGGGGTTTTGGACATGCATGCAGAAGCACCCAGTGTGAGTTTCAAGCCACCGGATCTGGGACTCAAACTGCAGTTGGCCATGTGAGAGTCCAGCGATGTAACCATTATGCCATTTGCTGGTTTCCCAACATGTTTTTCAAGCCTCAGGGGTCAGGATTCGAACTGGGATTGGCCATGTGAGATCTGGCTCCCTTAACCAGTAGGCTGCAGGACTGGTTATCTGTATTTTTAATAGTAGCCATTCTTTTTATTTCTATTTTAGGTTTTGCCACAGGACATGTGCATTCTCCACAGAGAGATAGAGAGAGGGAGAATGAGATAGCACTCTCCCCAGGGGGGATGGCCACACAACAGTCTCCTCCATTTTCTCCTTGGGACTTTGGGCATACACTCAGCTCGATTTTTCAAGCTGTGGGCTGAGATTTGGACCACAGCGGGCCATGTGGAAATCCAGGACCTTAACTTTCATACCACCTGGCCTCTCTCTTTCCTTTTTAAAAACACTTCCACCAAAGAAAACTAACACCAGGAGTCCTTTTCCCAACTTCCCTAGGCATACAAACTCTGACTAAGCCTTAAGTAGCTGTGCCACACCCCGAGCCTCACTGCCTGGACTGCCGCTCTCCACCACCTGTGTTCTCTGAGCCTCTCTGCCTGCTTTCTCCCAGGAGGAACAAGACCCAGACACAGAATTCACCGAGAAGAACTTGCTGATGACGGTCATTTATCTGTTATTTGCCGGAACGGTGACAGTCAGCTCCACGGTCCGCTATGCCCTCCTGCTCC